GGACAGTGACCCTACATGTAGGCATTTTTCCACCAAATGGTAAAATACGACAAACTTGTATGGGCGAATTTCATCATGGTGTTGTACATGGTCTACCTATTTTATATTTACCATGTGAATAGTATCTTGCTTGATACTACTAACTATGAAGATAGGAAGCCGCTGCTCCCTGTTTCTACTGATTGAAATTCTTATTTCTTTTTTTTTTTCTCTCAAAAAAGATTTAAAAAGTAGAAGGGAAACTTTATCCTGTTTGGCTGTTGAATTTCATCTGTTTCTATCTTTTATATTTTGTGAACTCTCAATGGTCTTTAAGTTGTCTGTATAAAAATGTATTAATAGCAAATGGAAATGACTATTCTAGATCATCTTTGTTTCTTGCAGTTTGATGTTTGGACCAGATTTATGTGGTACTCAGACGAAAAAACTCCATATGATACTTTCTTACCAGGGACAGAATTATCCCATAAAGAAGGATTTGCAATGTGAAACGGACAAGTTAACTCATTTCTACACATTCATTCTTAGACCTGATGCTAGTTACAGTATCCTTGTTGATAATCGAGAAAGAGATTCTGGAAGCATGTACAGTGATTGGGACATCCTGCCACCTAGGAAAATCAAAGATGTTAAGGCAAAAAAGGTGCTCTTCGGATACTGTAATTTTCAACATCTATACACTTATGTGAGACTTGTGAGTAGTTTATATATATATGATCCTAAATAAGGTCTTATTCTTGTTCAGCATTATCTGCTTGAACTATTGAAGTCCTCAAATAAGTTGCATCCATATGCAACTCGTTTCATATTATACTTACAGCATGCTTCTGTGTTCCACCTGTTGGTGTTAAAGATTCATAGTCTATTATCAAAGATATGCCAAATAGTTGCTTTGCAAGGATGCACTATACAGTTTCTAAAATTCCCTTTACCTTACAGCCTGCTGACTGGGATGACAGAGAATACATTGAAGATCCTAATGATGTTAAACCGGAGGTATTTAGCTGTACATTTTACCTGATGGTTGTTGGATGTTATATATCATAGCTTTAAATAGGTTCTTTTCGTTCTTTTATTTAGGGATACGATTCAGTTCCAGCCGAGATTCCTGATCCAAAGGCAAAAGAGGTTTGTTGATACTTTTGCATGCTTAATTTGGTCAAATCAAGTTTTACATCCTTCCCGAATTGCTGAAGGGTTCTAGTACTAATAAGTTTTGTTGAAAAACTCTCCTTGTAAATTAGTTCTTGTGATGTACTTGACCTCTTTGATGTTTCATAAATAGCCTGATAATTGGGATGAGGATGAGGATGGCATATGGAGGGCTCCCAAGGTTCCAAATCCAGCATACAAGGGACCGTGGAAGCGTAAGGTGCAATAAGTGTTTTCCTATATATGTCCATTGGAATGTGTTCTGTAAGAGTTCTTATTTATCTAATGGCATGCTCCACAGAAAATCAAAAACCCCAATTACAAGGGAAAGTGGAAGACTCCATGGATCGATAATCCAGGTATGTTTCTTCTCAGCTGTTCAGATGCAGACAGCAGAAGGCATTTGTGACAAAAGAATTGCCATAACATTAATGTCATGGAAACTAAATGAATTTATTTTATGTCATGTAAGCTGCCTGAAAATGGACTTGTCTATTTCAATATTTTCGATAATTGGTAAAACAGTAAAGCTAATTGTACATAATCATGATCTCACAGGCTCTCCAAGTTGATTCTTTGACTCTTATCATTTATTCAGTTGTTAAAGTTCTGTTTTGAGAAATGGCCAGCCAAATTAGCTAAATTTCTCATTAAATGACGTCATATTAATTTCTTCTTTTTTCATTTTTTTGTTTTATTTATCCAGAGTTTGAGGATGATCCTAATCTTTACGTGCTGAAACCAATAAAGTATGTGGGCATCGAAGTTTGGCAGGTAGATATCATGATTTGTTTTGGTTTCCCTTTCCAAAATGCTCTGATTAGTTGTCAGAGTGAAAGTTATAATTAATCATATTCTCTCATGATTTGGCCAATTGTTGATATTTGATATTTGTCTGTAGTCCCTTTTTGGTTCTGTATTCTAGACCAAGTATAATAGGTCTCAATATCTCCAGTAATTGGTTTTCTAAATTATGTTGTGTAGCATCTGCTTGATGTCTCATGTTGAATTACAGGTAAAAGCTGGATCAGTGTTTGACAACATTTTGATATGCGATGATCCACAGTATGCAAAGGAAGTTGTTGGCAATACGTTTGCAAGTAATAGGGAGGTATATATTACATTTCCTGGAAATTTCATTTTGGACAGCTCCAAGTAGCAGGAGCTTTTCAAATTTACTTCCTTTCACCCTACCCCCAGCCCAATATTTGAAAAAGAAAACACACACAAGAAGGAAAAAGGAAAAAATGATTGAATATAGAGTTGTCAATTCCAATATGTATACAATTTCAGGCTGAAAAGGAAGCTTTTGAGGAAGCAGAGAAAGAAAGGAAGGCTAGGGAAGAAAAGGTGAGAAGTCTTCTCGGTTTTATTGCCTGATGACATAACAAAACATGAATTCTAGATTTTTCAATTCAATATAAATTGAGTGTAGGAGGCTGAAAGGGCTAGAGAGGAAGGTGAAAAGAGAAGAAGGGAGCGAGATAATCGTCATAAAGATAGGAGGAGGCATTATCGGAGGGTATATCTCTAGCTGAACATATCTCATCTATAATTTATCGTCTATATTGTGCATATCTCTTCTGGTCTTTGCTGCCACAAAAGAGTTGGGGCAAGTTATTTTATCGACTTCTTGAACAGTACTCTTTCCCTTAAAGATCGTCTTTCTTGCAAGGGGCAAGAGTGTGTTGTCTTTATAACTTTTATTGCTTTTTCTTTTTTGGGATATATTATATGTGATCCTTCCCTTGTCACGTAAATGATAAACGAAACTTACCATAGGTTATATGTATTGGGTGATATGGGATGCTTTTCCTTTTCTTCAAAGTTCCCAATTTTGCATTTTGGTGGTTATAATTTATTTTAACCTGAATTCAGTGTTCATACAACTCCTAATAAACCCATTAGTCTATTTAGTTCATTTTTAGAGTGTGCTTTCTCAAAGCTACTGCTGTTTCGGTTTGGCTTGCACTCATGCATTCTTAGGCAGACATATCCTGTATCATTCCCAAACTCTTCAAGATTTAAGTCGCTCTTTATCTTCCTTTCTCTCCACCTGGAAAGAATGCGAGATGTTCATACTCAAATTTTCTTTGTTCTTATGGGAAGAATCAAGTCTAATCTTAAAATTTTGCTTTGCAGGATCGGCATCACTTTGATGACTACCACGTAAGTTTCTCCTCCCCACTTTTGCTTATATTCCAAATCTATCCCAGGGGTCTAAATATCGAAAAAAAACCTCGAGTTTTCTATCTTCATAGCAGAGATGAGGAAACTACTATTAAAATGTTGATGCAGATCAATATTCCTTAAGAATTCATGGAGAGACCAACTTTGATTTAATAAGTTTTTCACGTCTAAAAAGTTATAAACCAAGTATTAGTAGTCTTTATGATTTGTCAATTATTTTATGAAAATATAGACATGTCGATGAATAGTAAATTCCATGATCCATTTATGATTGAATTTTACTTAGGCTAATGAAACACGGTGGGTTGTTACATGAAAGAAGTAGCTGATTAAGACACATCCATTTGCCTAAGAACATTTTAGCATTCAATTGTATTTGCAGTTATGTTCATGCTGAAGCGAACAAAAACTTCATACTAAGTCATTGTAACACACTCATTGATGGTATTGCAGGATGAGTTATGAGGACGTTTGGAAGTCCACTTCACTTCACTTCACTTTGCTGAGAGGAAATATAATTGGTTCAGAAGACGTCCAACCTTTTTGTGCATCTGCTGTGACATTAGAAACTACTGCCTTTTTAATTGTTGTAATGAAACTTTCCCATTAAGGAGGGTTTGTAGTTCTCTTTCCACTATGTATTTCTTGTGTTTGAATCTTTGCTTGCAGGTCCTGAAATTCGCTTTCACAAAGCTAATTCCAAACCCTATGGACTGGTTTTGATTATTAATAATTATTTCACTTGTCTCAATTTTTTTTTTTTTGGCTATATTTATACTTTTTTTAAAAGCCCAGGAAATTGAGTAGAAGGGTTTTAGGGATTAAGGGGGATTGTCCTGGACCTTCTTTCTTCTCCTACGGATCCCTAAGAAAGTCACCTGCGGCAGGTTAGTACAGTTAGTACAGTTCGTACAATTCTCTCTGGTAGCTGATTTTTCCCGTGCTGTCTTTTTTCTAGAAAATAATAATAAAATCATAAGAGTTGAGCAAGAACAAGAAAATGAAGAACTGCTGCCTTTTTGACAAGTGATAATGGATTCATGTCCAGAATTTTAGATCAAGAGTTAGAACTAAAAGAGTTGGAACTAAATTAGTAATATAAATTGACTTTATTGAAAGAAAAAATGTTAAACAAGATTAGTAAATAAAAAAAGAAAGAAAAAATGTTAAACAAGATTAGTTAATATATAAAGTATAGGTAAATGTATACTAACAATAAGGTATTTTTTTTATTTTTTTTTTTAAAGTAAAAAGATGTTCATTTAATTTCCATCCGTATATACAATCAGGTGATTCAATAAAACTTTTAAAAAGTTTAAATTAATTTTGAAACAAAATATCAACTATTTTAAACCCATTAAATATTTTTTTTAAAAAAAATTGAAGTATTATATTGGACTCATTATATTCTTTCATTTTGTCTGAAGGCTAAACTTCTTATCCAAAAATATATATATATATATATATATATACATACATATAAATATAAAAAATATATTTCTCACATTAAATCCTTCAATTTATGAATTAAAAAACAATGAATAAGAATCTTTGGATGATGAAAATTATACTCTATCAAGGTCGTCGGCAAACAACCATCAAATTTTGGGCATCTTTAAGCATAATAACGACTTTCCTATTTGTAAAATTCTCTAATATAACCCTCTAAATTTGGGGGGGAGTAGTTTATACACTAAAGAGTCAAACAAAAAGAAAAGTGTTATTTTGAATTGAGTTCATCCAAAATCACTCACCCCAGAAATTTGCAGTCCTTAAAGCACAACCAATACTCCCAGAAAGAAATACCAAAAGAATCTACCTGAAAAAACAGTACGAAATCTGTCGATTAGTACCAACTATTGCATACTGAAAATTGGATTCGCTTGGAACTGCCATTAATACGATCTGGAGCTCACACTATCTTTTTGAATCAGCCTCATGTGTGAGGATATTTGTGTTGGAGATGCTCGTTCTAATCTCTTAAGCATCATTCTCGCCTGAAAACTGTGCTGTTCGACCAAGCGGTAGTATATGATCTTTCAAAGTCTCATATTCGTTGGACCTTATCTGAGCACGATCAAGCACCTATGCAAATGAGAGTCACAGCAGGATGTAAGTATATACCAATTTAAGAATCAACGAATTGAATTTCATCAAATATAAGAATACTCTTCATGGTCAATCACCAAAACAAGAGAACGACATGAACTTCAGAGGTCCACTCAATTAAACTATATAGTGGTACAAAATTCAAATTTTGGATAGAAAGAGGAAAATCCACCATTAGAATCTGTCTTCAAAAACATTATAAAAAGTATTGACAGCACAAATATTTCCTTTTCATTGTTTGTGTGTGTGTCTATATATATATATATATATACAAAACAATTTTATTAATTAAATGAAATATACTACAGGGAGGTCCCATCTAAAAGGGTTACAAAAAATATTTCCAATTAGATAAAAGGGCATTTAACCTATAATTGCTAAAAAGAATATTTGTACACCAGTAAAGAGACTAATCAATCCTCTGGGGATCTTACTTCATTCTGAAAGATTCTTGAACACTTGAGTTCAACTGAAAAATATGAATATACAAGCAGCCACAAAAGAAGCTGAAAAAATAATACAGACCCAAAAGATCCGTAAAAAAAAACTACAGAAGTGCTATAATTAAGGCTTTAATTGTTAGAGGATAATCAATCAAGCAACATTTTTGTAGAATATTAATCAAATATGCAACAATTTCAACATCTGATTACGATTTCCTCAAAACGAAAAGTTCCAGTCAAGGAGAGGAATAAGGTCACATGTCATCAACCAATTTTCAAATTAAATAAATGGATATTTTTTAGCACTAGAAAAAGAGCACAAGTAAGTTGATTTGATATCAAGTGCACCCATACAATTCAGAATATCCTAGTATACAGTTCTACAACTTGGCATTAGCGATAGCTGATAAATATAAAGCATGTTTCAGATCATCAAGATTATCATTCCTTTTAACTCTTAAACTGTTTCTTTAATACTCCGTGCAAAACAAACCATTAGTTTCTAAGCAATAGAGAAGATTTATACGGAGCCAAACCTTGTGAAACAGACTTCTACTATTTGACACTTGTGAGTCAAGTGACGGAATCCGGCAAACAGATAAAGCTTCTATAAACAGGAGAACAATTACTTGCCATTGCTTCATTCTGAATGCCGGAAGTGCATCAAGGAAAGTCATAGTGTCTAACAAACACCCCTGCACAAGAACATAAATCAACGTCACTCGCATGCCAAAGTTGGACTAGCAGTAGCACAATGATAGAATACTTAATAGGATAATGAAAATTTGTACTAATAATACTACCAGTAATACAAACGGTCCATCAGGTCAGGAGATAAGAAAATTGAGGAATGAATCCACTCCTTAGACTACCAAGGTACATTGAAAATAGTATTTGACAAGGCCATAACATCACAAGAGAATGCAATTCAACACCCCCTCCTTCCTCTCATCAGCATTTTCCAAACTAGATCAAGATGTTATAATCTTGACGTATAACTAAGAATTACTATATAATGAATGCGACTCTTTTGGGGAATGGTACTGCAGATACTAAATAATTTTTGTGTACATACATACATACATACATACATACATACATATATGTATGTATGTATGTATCAACACAAAATAAATAGTAACATAATGAGCTCTGGATCTACGCAAATTAACGTAAGTTCTCAATTATCACCAAGAAAAATTATTGAGAGAAAAAGGTGTCATGAATATTTCAACAATACCATCCCGTGCTCCAAACTTGATATTGGGGTTGATAGCTTAAGTTCAGAGGCAAGTCCAGGTATTGACCGTGTCAGACATCCAGCAAGTGTTTGCTTGATTTCAGAAGATCGGCCATCAGCAGAAACAATTTTCCTCGGATACTCCCTCCCATCAATATATTGAAATTCCTCGTGGAACTTTTCATCTTTTCCATAAATGTAGGCCAGGGAAGATGATGTCATCCATGCAAAGATTGCCATCCACATGGTTGCAAAAGAAGATAACTGAAAGCAACAAGATAATGTGGTGGGAAAAAATAACATTTTTAAGTTAAGAAGAGAAGGTACATCCAAAAAAAGAAAAGGAGCTTACAGTTAGGCTGAAACCCTCTGGAGGCGAATCATACCAAGAGTCTTCGGGATCAAACAGATCAGAATGTAATATCCCAGGTTTGTTTGACTTCTCTGAGGATGAATATGGTTCAGATATGTTCTTGCCATTTGTAGATACTTCTTCATTAGCATCACTTGGACGTGGCAATATAATAATTCCAGCTTCAGACACTGAATATTACAAACAACCGAACACAAAGAAAAAATGTATAAAGTGTCTTTTATTTGTGAGGTATAACAAAGAGCAGAGCACAGAAGGAATAACTATACGAGTAACCATCTAGTTCATATTCATACAGCAATTCTAAACCACCAAGAGCCAGTTTTTGTTTTTTGTTGGCTGAAGTTACAATAATTCAAGGAAAAAGAATGCAGAGAAGGGGAAGATAATATATTTGCTAATAATCGATGAAATCACAACAAAAATTAGACCTCTGGTTGGGTTATACATCAAAATAGGGATAACTAGATCTAGTTTCAGCCGTAAAGCACATCTAAGGGCCAAACAAGTAATATTATCTTTATAGCACTTAGTACAATAACTAACCTCAATCATCATGAATAGAGAAGAATACCTGCATCAGAGACCTCATTTTGCCCAGAAGTAATTGCTTCAGCTGCTTGGCTCAGTGCCATTGCACAGGCTTCAGCAGATTCAACGCGTAACATGTCCTCATTACCATTGTCAGCATTTACCAAATTGCTTGTCATTCTGGAACATTCCTTTGTCTTCCCCATTTCTCTGTCCTCTGGAAGGTTTATAATACTGGTCTCATCTGTTTTTGCATCTGCCCAGGTTACAGAGCGGCGCAGGTTTTTCTTGCCTGGTTGTTTAAGGGAGGACTTGATCTGAGTTTCGTTAAGCTCATTAGATCCACCTTTGGGCTCTTCAGTCGTTATATTGCAATTAGTATTGCAGTGATTTGAAGTTGAGGGAGAATCAGACAAATTATTATTACTTTCTGCGGTGGCTGATACATTAGTCCTTTCTTTTGTTCCTCTTGCCTTCCGTCCAACACTGTTTTTTGTGGGAGCTGGACCATGCGGGGTTTCCAAAATGGTAAACTGTTCATTTGATTGTTTACCACAGAACTCTCCTGTTTGTGCTTTTGACTTTGTATCAAAAGTCATCTCTTTCAAACCAGATGATATCTTCGAAACACTATACTCTTCATCTGTGATTACAGTACTTGCGAAAGAGAAGTCACTGAAGAAATCCTTTTCAACACCCAATTGCTTAATTTTAGCTTTAGAACCTAAAATAGTGCACCAAAACTCAATTAAACAAACAGGAGCAAGAAAATACACTGTTCACTCTTTTTTTCTTTTTTTTCTTTCTCCTCTTTTCTCATAAAGACATCCCAACTCCCAAGAATGCATTAGCTTCTATATATTATTTAACAATCAAACACAGTAAGTTGCAGACATGCTATAAAAAGTCCAACTCCTTAATTTTAGCATTAGACCTAATGGGAGAGTACTTAAACTCACTTTTAACCACCTATACAAATAAATCTGAAGTTCAATTTTCCATTTTAGCATTTTAAGAATGTTTTTCTTTTTCTAGCAACTTCTTTTGAATGCATAAGCTTCTCTAATATGGAATTCAACAACCAAACACAATAAAACTTTGGCATACAGAGGAAAAAAAAAAGAAAAGAGAAGAATGGTTACCATCCTTGAGTTCTTTTCCATCCTTGCTAGGCAAAGTCATGATGTTATGATTTCTGTGTGGAACATAGCCTTCAATTGCATTTGATGGACCCATCCACTCTTCAATGGGAACTTCTCCTATACTGCTTTCTATCTTCTCCTGAATTTCAAGCCCCAAATCACAACTGTTCCTCGTATTTTCCTTAGAATCCAAACTCAAATTCTCAAACAATCTAAGAATTTCTTTAAGTTTCCCGGGATTCATAACCGAACATCTCTCATCTTGCAATCTCCCAGAAAAGGCACGACTGTTAATGAGACAAGTGGAAGAGCAGTACTTATATGTCTCTTCTAAATCATACACCTTATGCTCTTTTAAGGAAATTCTGTACCGGCCTTTCCTAGTGTTATCAGATGGCAAATTAGATTGGCATAATGGATATCCACAGAGGTTTGCAATAGACCGCTCAGTCACCACGTCTTCATAGTCACTGCGAGACATCAGAGACCCAGCTGCAAATAGCTGGTTCTCATTATGAATTCCGTCAAGGAGTGCAAGCTGCAATTTATAGACTGTGTCTTTGATCAAAATAGTCTGATTCTTTGCCATTGGGAAAATTCCTCAATATGACTTCACTTTCCTGTAAGTGAAATGATAATTTAACATACATCGGCGCAGGATAAAGATTAAACGTCTCGACATTGTATAAAACAGTCAAACAACAAGGATGGGTGCCATTAAGGCACTTGATAATTTCTATCCATATAGCTGCTAAAGACCGTTCCATGTACAATTTGATTAGTTTTTTGCCCTATATGAACATAACCAATACCTGCAGAATAAAATGCACGAGCACGGACAAGGCCACACACTATTTTACAGAAAAACTAGTAAAGACAACACTAACCAATACCTGCAGAATAAAATGCACGGGCACGGGCACGGACAAGGCCACACACTATTTTACAAAGAAAACTAGTAAAGACAACACACTTAGACTTGCAAGTCAAAATATATCTATACTCTCATACAATTCCATGAAATTATACTTTGTATATTACAACATATATAGAATTTCAAGAGCACATTCAAAATATCTCAGACCAGCACCAATACAAAACCACAAGTTCTTTCTTTACTAGAATCGTCCGACCAGACCGACAATCTAAACCAAGACAAGGAGGAGAGTTACGTAAGTAACAGCAGATGTTGACAATGAAGACTTCGCATAAGGCACCTCAAGAGAAGAACATGCCAGTGACATTCAAGAGATTTCAACAGAACGAGGGAGATAGAAATACTGCGGGAGGCAAAAACAGTAAATTGGAAGATGAGCTATCAGACCTGCAGGGATTGGATACTGGCAGTGGTTAAACTTTCCTCCGAAGAAACTGCCGCCGAGCCGATCGCCGCCGTAGAGGACGACGAACACGATACCGTGAGGAGAAGGAAAAATTGAAAACGTTTCTAACTTCAGCAGTTCGGTCCGAGGGTTTTAATTTTCTATCCATAAGAACCCAAATTCAGACCCCAGCTACAGTTATTTAATTCGAAATTTATGAAATGTTAAATTACTAATTTATCCTTCTCACTTTCAAAAATATCCAATAAATTTTTAATTATTTTTTATATTTTATATTTTTATATTAAGCTTTTATTATCAATTTTGTGCCTAATTAATCCTCTATATATATATTTACCAACTCAAAGTTTTTATTTTTTACCCGGAAAAATTCATTTTAAGAAATATCATAAAAAAAAAAAAAAACAAATGAGAATATTTATTGAACGCTTTGACCTGTATTACTATCAGCCTCACAATTTTAAAACGTGTCTACTAGCTAGAGGTTTCCACACTTTTAAGAAATACTTTGTACCCATTTCTAAGAGATCTCACAATGACCCTGTGTAAGAACATGACTGTCATGGACATTGATGAGGAGTGGACCCATTTCATATTGTCATGGATAAAACTTTATTACCCGACTTCGAGGGTGGGAACTACTAGTCTCTAGAACGTATTAAAAAATTCAATCAACTCAACCCAATCCATGTAGTTTGGGTCGGATTATGAACTTGTTTAGGTTTTGTTTAGTTCAAATAAATGAAAACTTTATAGATTAAGTTTATCCATGAATTCTCCTAAACCTAAATTGGATTCGACTGTTTGCTATGAATCTCCAATTTTAGTTTTGAAGTCACCGAACGGAATAAAAGGAGGGACAAAACGATCATGGGTATGGGCACCTTCAATTAAAATATTTTCTTAATAACAAAAAGTTCAAGTTAATAGGGCTTAATCTCGTCTACTTTCTCGAATATAGGAACACCTAAAAATTGAGGTTTAGAACCGGGTCGAGAAAAAATATCATTTTTGTGAAGATTCTTTAAAATAAAAATTAATATCCACGAGCTAATATTGAATATTTAGAGCAAATTTTATAGATTGAATAGATGTTTGAATTTGAATGATAATTAAAAAAATTAGAATTATATATATATATATATTTATTTATTTATTTATATTTAAAAAATGTAAAAAATGATCGGCCTCCTCTTTATTTAATTTTTTATATTTATGAAGAGAGCGTAAAGATTAGGGAGATATTTACAAAAATTAAAAACAGTATTAATACAATTTTTTTTTTTTTGAAAAGTTTAAGGATATATATTTTTTTATTTTTTAAAAAATTGAATAAATATATTTAAAATTTAATGATATTATTTTTTTTGGACGATATATAAATTGAAATTTATTTTTATTATTTAGTTAATATTTAAAAAGTATTTTTAAGTATTTAAAAGCAAAAAGGAAAAAGAAAGGCTAAATTTATTGGGAGCGTCAACCCAATCATATCACTGCGTCAGAAAAAATCATTAAAAAAAATATATAATAAATAAATAAAAAAGAAAAAGAAAAGGGAGGCATTTTTTGACCGAATACGTCTCCTATTATTTTTCTTTGTTTTTATATTATTATTTATTAATTTTATTTGAAAATATCTCTAACACTAAACTTTTATAATATTTACTTTCTAATTATTTATTTAGTTCATAATAATTAATTAGTGAAACTTTACCCAATTTAATATCCATTATTTTTATTAGGAGATGTTGGTTAAGTTAGGTCAATTTTAATTAGTCATTTATTATATATTAAATATAATCATTATTATTATAAGATAATTATTTAAAAACTTATATGATTTAAGTTGCTAAATTATTTGGTATAATATTAATATTAAAAACTAATATTAGTACCTTTAAATTAGGAGAAGTTTAAGATAAAAAAACAATCAATTTTAATAGTTAATATGGTAATTTTTAAATTTTTACCAAGATTAAAAAATAGTTTAAATTGCAACACACATCAAGTTTATAAAATGATTAAAAAAAATAATTTTAATATTTATTAAAAATATATAGATTAATTTTAGATATTTAAAAGTATGTGAACTAAAATATAAATAGATCAAAATGTCATTTTCACATTTTTCAAATTTAAGGTAGAGTAGGCAGGGACTTTACAACCACTGAAATTAATTAAAAAATAATAATATTTTTATAATATTAAAAAAATGTTAAAATAAATTTTTGGTGATAAATCTCAAATTTAATCCACATTTCCAAATTTCTTTTATGTATTAATTTTTCAACAAACAATTATGAAAATATATTTATCTAATATACTTTAGTTTATATTATTATTTAACTAATTTTAATAAAAAAAAGATTAAAACTTAAAATTTATGAAATTGAGATGGTAAAAAATTATTAAATAACAATATTAGAGTGATATAAATAATAATAATAAAAGTATATTAAGTTTTTGTCATATATTCACGATAATAATTTTTTTTTAATAAAATGAAATAGGTTAATGATATTTTTTTAAATATAAATTTTTTAAAAGCTTAAAAATGTATTTTTGAAATAAAATATTGATAGATTTTTTCTTAAAAAATAAAAAATTATTATTAAAAATTTTAAAGAAAAAAAAAAAGAAATATTTTTATTAATTTAGCGGGGATAAAATCTACCCTACCCGCTTAAAAAGCAAAAACATAAACGCGTATTACAAAAGCGTAATAATATAGTGGCGCTAAGAGTTGGATTGATGTGCTTCACATAATTACGACTTGAGTGCCAACTGCCCTGCCCCTCTCCACCGCTCTCTCTCTCTCTCTCTCTCCTCTCCCTCCGATCTCGATCTTCTCTTCTGGTGGAGAAGAAGATGCAGATGATGGTCTCCAAGGCTTCCTCAGCCATGGCCTCCATGCCTTGCACTAGGGTTCGCTTTTACTCTTCTTTCTCTTTCTTTTTCTCTATATTTTCGTTTCGCAATTGCACTCTCTCATGTTTTCTCTCAATTTTTCTTCTTGTTTTGTTGGAATGTTTTCGATGTTGTCGGTTTTAAGCTGTGGATACTCTCCAATGTAGCTGAAGCAGTCTCGCGGTTTATTTTGTTTTGAATCATTGTTGATCGGCCTTGTTATATCTTCTGCTACTTTCTCTTACAGTATGACGATGAATATCTAACGGATTCGATTTTGTTGCTCCTCTTGTTTGAAATTGGTACTGCTAATTTTGTTGCTAAGATCTGTAACATCATGATGTACGATCCTTCCTTCTCGTGTCTTGTATCATGTCATAGTGGGCAGTAAGTCTGTAATGTTGTCGGGGTTTATTGATAGATTTCTTGAACAGAAACATGTGTTTTAGCTTTATTGACGAATGGGAGTTTCAGGTTGGAAGCGTATGTGTCTGGCCGAGCATGAAACAGCTTTCTTTTAGAAAAGACCTTTTGTATGGGGTTATGAGACTCTTATCTATACCATTGAAAACGTTGCGTGGAGCTAGTCGTTCACTTAAAGTTGCTCAGTTCTGCAGTGTCGTCAATATGTCTTCCACATTGCAAATTGAACTGGTAAGCTGTTAGATCTGGAAATTGCTTTTATGGTGTCAATGGCATCAGTTATTTTTTCCCATGATGGTTTTGTGGTGGTCATTTTATGATTACTTTCATGGGTTAACATTTTCTTTCTAAATTCATGCTTTAATTCTAAAAAAATTTCATCCGAGAGAATTTCTAATTTTAGGAAGAGGCCCGAATGGTCTAAATTTCAGTGTGTTATTTCTTTCCAAAGTTAGATTGCTTCAACTATTGGCATACATAATATATAACTTTCACCTGCTCAGCTACACGATATATAATTCTTGATCTGAGTCCATTCAAGTAAGGTGGCTACAAATTATATTTAATAAGACATTAGTCATGCTCTTTTTGTGCTCTCACCCTAAATGAATCAATTTTTAGGATTGCTGGTTGTCCACTATCATTGTACGTTCTACATTCCATAATAACTGTTTAGTCAGCTGCAGCATAAACATTCATTACGTATCTCTATTTTATTCTACTCATTCTTCGATAGGTACCTTGTCTTCGTGACAACTATGCATACCTCTTACATGATGTTGATACGGGCACAGTTGGGGTTGTTGATCCTTCTGAAGCTGTACCAGTTATAGATGCTTTAAGAAAGAAAAACAGAAATTTGACATATATACTTAATACTCATCATCATCATGATCACACTGGTGGGAATGAAGAATTAAAAGCAAGGTACGGAGCAAAGGTATGAATTTAATTTTTTTTTTTTTTGCATTGCATCAATAGTCTAGTTGGTCTCATCCTATAAATGTTGTATGTTTGAGTCCTAAAGGTTGGTCATAGAGGTAAGAACCTGTGTACCTAACCTAGAGGCCATTATGTGAGAAATTCATTGACTCTCAATTTCTCGATGCCAGAAGAATGTTTATATATTAGTCTCTATTCTTAATCCTTTTATCTAGTAAACATAGTGGTGAATATTTTTTTAAATATAAACACAGATATCTATTGTCATAAGAACATCATACCTTGTCACGTGCAAGAAATGTTACATTCTTCGGTACTGATCAGAAAGTATTTTGTGTATTTTGACTTGTTTTGAATTAAAGACTTCCCTAACTTGTCGTTTAAATTAAGGCTTGGATTGAGATGAATTAAGGAATTGATGCTGACTTATGTTATACAATAGTCCATGAGATATTTCTTATCCTTGAATTGAGGGTTTACTTTTACAATCCATAGAACTTCTGTCAATTTTTTATACCCTTTTTTCTGGTTGTAGGTGATTGGGTCTGGAATAGATAGCGACAGAATTCCTGGAATTGACATAGCTTTAAAAGATGGAGACAAGTGGATGTTTGCTGGGCATGAAGTGCAAGTAATGGAAACTCCTGGTCATACTCGAGGTGTTTGTTACTTGTTACTTTAGATTAGTTTCTTGTATGATAAGATGTAGACCACGAGATTAAAGGAGATCATTCTCCAAGAGATCTAATCCCAATCTTTATTATGATTCAAAATGTGTAGAATATATGATAGAAACCCTTACTTATGGGAATTAGAGAGCAAACTAAAGTCCAATCCAAAAATACAGTTAGATAGTTAAA